TCTCGATTCTTACAAGACGAAACCGGCCAATCAGGATGCTTGCTGTCTTAAGGGGGTCGCACACTGGACAAGAAGCGCACCGCCATGTCTTTAAAATTTGAACACTCTATGAGTGTACACAAACCGGCGGTGCCCAGCTACGGCTCAGGACCTTGTTCAAAACCCTGCTGCGCCACATAGCGCCATTTGCATAGTTATATAATAAATGTACATTTATTTGTCTCAAATCGTCGTTAATGTACATGGATTCACCCTGTTCTGTTTTCACTCGGGCTAGCTAAATGCTAGCTAAATAAATACTATTGTATTATGTGACAGTTGCCTAGACAACGGATAACGTTACAACAAAATGACAGACTTAAAGGGTTAGTTCACCCAAAAATGAAAATTAAGTCATTAATTACTCACCCCAATGCTGTACCAACCCCGTAAGACCTTCGTTCGTCTTCGGAACACAAATGAAGATATTTTTGATTAAATTTGAGAGCTGTATAACTACCACATTGGCTCCTAAAGGACTGCCTCTTGACGGCCCAGAAAGTCAATGAAGAAAATGTTTAAATATCCCAAGTGACTACCGTGGCTCAACTATATGTTTATCAAGCGACGCGAATACTTTTTGTGCGAAAAAACAAACAAAAATAACGAGTTTATTCGACTATTTCTTTTCTTCCTTGTAGGCCAGAACGAGACTTCCTTAGATTTCCACGACGCATGCGCGAGATTTGCGATCTGCTCACACCAGCCTTCACTACTTCAGATCGCAATTCTCGCGGATGCGTCGTGGAAATCTATAAGGAAGTCTCGTTCTGGCCTACAAGGAAGAAAAGAAATAGTCGAATAAACTCGTTATTTTTGTTTGTTTTTTCGCACAAAAAGTATTCGCGTCGCTTGATAAACATATAGTTGAGCCACGGTAGTCACTTGGGATATTTAAACATTTTCTTCATTGACTTTTTGGGCCGTCAAGAGGCAGTCCTTTAGGAGCCAATGTGGTAGTTATACAGCTCTCAAATTTAATCAAAAATATCTTCATTTGTGTTCCGAAGACGAACGAAGGTCTTACGGGGTTGGTACAGCATGGGGGTGAGTAATTAATGACTTAATTTTCATTTTTGGGTGAACTAACCCTTTAACGTGATAGACACTTTTACTTGATCAATGTTCAAACATCAGCTATTACTCAATCAAAAAAAAATCAAGTTAAAACTCACACATCGTGCAGCTGTTCTACCAGGAGAATGTGCGCGTCCGGTGTGCGATACGTGGACTTGTTCTAAACGTGGCGCGGTGCTGCGCTTCACTATCCCTTTACATGCGCTTCATGAGGCACGGTCTCTCGCTCTCTCCCTCGCCAGCGCAGTCTCATCCCAAGACGTCAACCAATTGACGCTTTTGACCATACGTCAACATCCGACGTTTTAGGGTACCTTTTAACGTCAGTTAGATGACGCTATCTAATCCTAACCCTACCCCAGACCTAAACCTACCTGGCGTCATCTAACTGATGTCAAAGGTAAAGCGTCAGTTGGATGACGCCCCAGGAATGTCATCTAACTGACGTTAAAGGGTACCCTAAAACGGCGGATGTTGACGTCTTGGGATGAGACTGTGTTACCCTCGCTGCCGTATGCGATTTGGAGCACAGTTTTTTCTGTCTCGGCATGCACGCTCGCTCTTGCTTTTAACTAATTTGCGGGCATTAGGGAGCCGCTATCAATATGCGGGAGACTCCCGGATTTTCCGCGAGACTTGAGATGTCTGGAAACTGTGGCTTTTTTGAATGCGAACATTGTCAACATTATTCATTAGAAATCCAAAAAAACTTCCACACCTGCGACTTCAATGAAAGAGGAGGGGGATCAAGTGGCAGCATCGACGATTCCATTTTTTAATTCGATTGTATTCCATTTACAATTAATTTCAATCGATTTTGATTTCAAATCGAAATCGTGACACCCTTAGTACTAACTAGATGCGGAAGGACATTGACCATGCTTCAGTTTTTGAGACCCTGGGAGTGAGAATGGGTTGTAACTAGGGCGGCATGATAAATGGAAATGAATCCGCACACGATTGGGTAAATGCTGAGATTATTTATGAGCAGTTTGTCAGTGAAGCGCGGCTCTCACGCGACCAAATATGTCCCGCAGAAATAGATAATGCACGTCAACCCAGAACATCCCTATGGGCATCATAATATTGCTGTAGCTGAATGAACAGAACCAGGTGTTCATTGGGACCGGGAACTGTTTTGGAGATGCTCTGACTCGGTCGTCCATCCATCACTATTTGGTCTTTGTCAGAGTCATTTAGATCTTGGCCATTTTACCTGCTTCCAACACATGAAATTCAAGAACTGACTGTACACTTGCTGCCTAGACATCTCACCCCTTGAAAGGTGGCATTGTTACTGTGGTATAAATTCCCCTACACACCCGACTAAAGCATCTCCTAATCGACACCCAAGCCTAGAGTCTCCTAATCAATGCTAACAAATTTATGCTCTAGTGCATCTCCTGATGTCTTGCTGAGTCGGATGATGTTTCGCCTCTTATGAACACTATCACTTGGGAATAAGGTCTCTAGTGCTCCACTAACCTGCTGCACAGCCGACAGACAGACTCCAGACAATACCTTTCAATAAGTTTAAATCATGGCCAGGAAGATATCGGATACATTTCAGAGAGAATCCATAAAGAGTACAACAGTTTTTTTTAGAATAGGAGCATGGAAAATGTGACTGAATGCAATTTTTCTCCAATATGTTTTGTTCGTCACTTATATAACTCTCTGTTACCAGGTACTGTACATGCAAATAATGATTCTTCGATACTTTAGCCTGTTGTTGGTGTCATGAAGTTACAGCTGTCCCCTTTAGTTATATTCAGACACACCAACGAAACGAGTGGTCATTTCAAAAATAGATAAAAAAGTTTATAAGTTTTATAAGCACAAATGTTCACCTTGCTCTGTTCAGTGATGAGTGTTCGTGAGTGACTCTCCTTTTCAAACTCGTTCATCAAAATGGACAAATCTGTTTTCGAGTCATGACTCGAAGGGTCCTAGATAAGACCCTTATTCATCGTCTGGTGTCGTTTAAAGCCAGTTGAAGCTGCACTGAAACTCTCATTTGGACCTTGAATCGTTTGGTTCCCAATGAAGTCCATTATATGGAGAAAATCCTGGAATGTTTTCATCAAAAACCTTAATTTATTTTTGACTGAAGAAAAAAAGACATGGACATCTTGGATGACATGGGGGTGAGTAAATTATCAGCAAAATGTTTTTTTTTAAAAGTGAACTACTCCTTTAATCCACTGGAGTCACATGGATTACTTTAATGATGTCTTTACGACCTTTCTGGGCATTAAACGTGCTAGTTGTGTAACTGTCAATTAAGGGACAGAAATCTCTCAGATTTCATTAAAAAGATTTTAATTTCATCGTTTTCATTTGTGTTTCGAAGATGAATGAAAGTCTTACAGGATTGAAGGATGAGGGTGAGTTATGCTTAATTTTTGGGTGAACTAACCCTTTAACTAATGTAAACAAATGAAATCTAATTGTGTAGTGTTACCACTTTTCTGTAGTAATTTGTCTTTTAATTTTAACCTGTAACTGCATAGCACTCAGAACACTTTAGCAACCACAATGCATGTCAGAAAAAATCTAGTTCTAGTGGAATAAACCTTATCTCACATGTAATATATATATGTTTTGCATTAGCATGGTGTTCTCGTTTCAGGTGAAGCGACACATAAGCCTAGGTCTTAACAATACTGCAGGGAATGATGACATCCGCCTGCGAACAAGTTTGTCTTCATTGCATGGGGATGACATCACTGACTGGCTTAATCCTTAAAATACACAGATAGAAAAAGGTTTAGACATTTAGTTTTATCATGACTATTTCCCACATTTTATAATCAAAGTCAATGAAATATGAAACAAAAATGAAATTAGGTGAATAATGTAGCGCTCAAAAATGTTAAACAAGCTTTTGAGTGGGTACTTATTTTAAATAAGCAATCACTCCATGACAAAAAAAGAGTATGTTTTATGCAGTATGAATATAATCTGGACATACTACATTCCCCATGGCATTGTCAGCATCAGTCACGTTGCTTCACTTCCATTCATAAATCCTCTTCATGGGACAGTAAAGTGTCCATCATATGCACACTTCAGAATCTCACCGGAAGTAGTGGGCCATCCCGGTACTTTTTGCCTACTCTTTTATGAGTAATTCCTTTGTCACATACTGTTTTTCGCCCACTATAGTATGTGATTTCAGATGCAGCCACTCTTTCTCTAACCAGCATCATAAGGTACATTTGAATCAGCACTGAAAGAGTTCACATAAAGACAATTTTTTTGTTTGTTTTTTGGCCGCTTTTCCTTCACTATCTTCAATTAAAGTCCTCAACTAAAAAAAAAAGATATAAATATATATAAAAAATGTTTTGAAAAGAAATCCATTTTGTACCAAAAGATACAAAGCTGTCGGGGGTGGTGAACTTTAGGTACTGTACCTTTAAGGTATTCATTTGTACCTTTCAGGGGTTACGAAATGTACACGTTTTGAAAAGATACCACCCCAGTGACAGCTTTTGTACCTTTTTTTTTCTGAGAGTGTACTGTAGAAAGCTAATTTCAAGCATTTAAGCATAAATCTTCAGAACACATCATTTAATAATTTTCTTTTTAACTTAATGAACAAAATGTCCAGGCTTCTGGTAAAGTGAACAGTGTGTCTGCAGTGAACATGCACTATTATTTATGCGGATGACTGCAGTGAGCTTGAGTATATCCTGCTCAGAGCTTTGATTAATGTAATTGGGTCACTGGGGTGCCGTTGTGTCTTTGAATCTTTATTTCCAGCTTTGATTCTGGCGCTGTATCTGTGGCATACGGTGCTCTGACAGCATACCTTCACCTCAGACAGGTGTTTGTTCCCATAGAGGGCGGTCAGGGGAGTTTAACAGGTGTAGTCTCAACCCACATTTTCTTGCTCTCTCCCTCTCTCTCTCTCTCTTTCACTTTCTAACTCTTTTTCTCCGCATTTCTCACTCGTACAGGTGATTTGAGAGGCAAACAGGGCAGCTTCTTATGAATTTTGGTAGCTGTGCAGGAGGAACTTCATATTAAAGTGTCATGCAGGGCAGGTTTATTTTGGCCAAGACATCATCATGACCTGGACAAACCCTCTGACCCTTCTTTGGCAGGGCTGGGCGAGGCACAGGGACCGGGACGGCCCCATCAGGAAGGTGGTCTCCAACCTGCCCTTTGAAGATCTGAAGAAACGTGACCAGCCGAACCGCCAGTATGAGGGCAACGCGATCAAAACCAACAAATACAGACTTTGGTCTTTCATCCCTATGAACTTATTTGAGCAGTTCCACCGCATGGCCAACATTTATTTTGTGGGCCTGGCCATCTTGAATTTCATCCCGGTGGTGAACGCGTTCCAGCCAGAGGTGGCTCTCATTCCCATTTGTGTCATCCTGGCACTGACCGCTGTCAAGGATGGTTGGGAGGATTTCCGGAGGTACCAGAGTGACCAGCAGCTCAACAATATGCCTTGCTTCATTTTCAGCAGGTAAAGAGTTTGCAAGTCATTGGTGTAATAACTGTGAAGTGAAAATACAGTATATAATTAATATTCATAAAACATTACTATAAAAATATTTTATAGGGTTGTCAGTTAAACGTGTTACTTTAAAAGCGGTTCTCCACCTTGTCGCCCCCTGTTGTGCAACATCATATTCAAAGCCCGTTCAAAAAAGATGGCCTGTTTCTTCTGCAATTATGATAAAGCTGATCATTTTCAAACTTTTGTTGACATATTGAGTTAATGTAGCTAATAAAATTAATTTATGAAATAAATTGGCCATTTATTGTGATTGTGGCATCTGACAAGCTGACTATAATAAACAAAGAAGGAGATTTAAAGAATCTAAAAAAAAGAAATAAATAAACTAGCCACGCTTTTTTTTTTAACTAAAATTAATTATTTTAAAACAAGCAAAATTAACATTATAAACGTATTTATTCATGCACCCCGCATTCCATAAGGCACTTTCCGAACATCGGATGAATTCTGAAATGCTAAAAAACTGCTAAGGTGCTGAAAATGAATGGAACAGTGAGATGCAAATGTTTGTTTACACAAAACATTGAAAAATTGCATTAAAAACATTGCATCCTTGAAGGAGTAGTTCAATTTTGCTGATAATTTACTCACCCCCATGTCATCCAAGATGTCCATGTCATTCTTTCTTTAGTCGAAAAGAATTAAGGTTTTTGATGAAAATATTCCAGGATTTTTCTCCATAATACACTTCAGTGGGAACCAAACGGTTCAAGGTCCAAAAGACAGTTTCAGTGCAAACTGTTCAAAGGGCTTTAAACGATTCCAGACGATGAATGAGGGTCTTATCAAGTGAAACGATCGCTCATTTAATAAATAAATAAGTTTTATACACTGTAAAAAAAATATTTTCATGATTTGTAATCACAACATTTTTTTCTTTTGTCAAATCAACTTAAATAATTTGTGTAGTTCAGATAACATAATATTTTGAGTTTCTGGTGATTAAATCAATCTCCTTCATTGTATTAACTCAATTTTTCCACTTCAATGAACTTAAAATTTTAAGGCAACCAGGTTACTTCATTTTTTAAGTTAAACCAACAATATTTATTTCACAGTGTAAGAGCTGGGAAAGTCTGTAAGATCTGTGGCAAAATTGTATGGCATTTTATTAATGCCAATTATGACTGACAGACAATAACAAACATTCACTCTCTCTCACACACACACACAAGCAAGGGTTCCCAAACACATTTCCCCCCATAATCCTTATTTCATTTGATTTGAATCTATTTAACCAGGCAAGTCATTTAAGATTTAACCAGGCAAGACATTGCTTATTTTCAATAACAGCCTGGCAGGAGAGTTAAAATCTCTCTAAAAACATACAAACATATTACAATACACACACAGACAGAAGTGGTGATAAAAACACTCCCTAATTGATTTTTAAATGCAGAGATTGAAATAAATTACTCAAATTCCAGTGACTGTTGTATAACACAATCATTTGGAGCAGCAAAACCAAATGTTATATTATAATTTCATAATGTGATATATAACATTATGGATAAAATTGGGGATATCTCATTGTTACTGTACATCTCACCTCAGGGTATGTTTCAACTAACCCGGACTCTGGGGGAGGAATTGTAACATTTCACTCGTGTTTGAAACCAAACCACACATTTTCTGTTTGTGCTGCAACGATAAAAGCTATGCAATTTAATATCTGACACTTGTAACTAGTTTAAATCCCATTTTAAACAAAAAGAGCTCCAAGATACAGCCAGAAATGTCAAAAATGTTACCACCATCCCAGTCTCCCCCCTATTGTTTTGAATGTCTTGATGTGACTAAATTTGATAGCTGAAACATTGTTTCACACCAGAAGTAACTATGTCTTGTCTATTTTGTGCCTCGAAATGTATTTTTCACAGCGTGTGACGTGAGAGAGTGTCATGGCTTGTTGAACCAAGCAACAGTAACTAGGGGGGAGGATTCCTATTTTCACTATAAGCCTACATAGCATCTTAAAAATGTGTCCGTTTATAATAATGAATACTGTACTGCATATGGGTGCTCATAAATCATTTAGCGTCTGAACAGAACGGTTTCTGCATTCCTTGTTAGGTTTTGATACATATATAAAATATAAACATAGATGAAGTTGCTGGTGACTATACAGTGACTACATCAAATGTCTCTCTTGCTCTCTGCACTCTTTCTTGCCCCCCCTCTTTCTGTGAGCTGTGTCGTGGTGCAGGCTCGCTTGAATTTGTGTTTCACTTCATCTGTGTTTCGAAACCCCATGGGAATTTTTGACCTAGAAATAAAATTTGTGTGGGAGATTTTTTTCCTTCTTTTGAAGAGCAGCACAATGTCTTGCATCCAACACATTGTGTGCATTTTGACGAGATCCTCATCATTGTGTTGCATCAGAGGGGTAGACAGAGAGGCATCATTTAGATCTATTTTAAAATGACTGAATAGCTGGTGGGAAAAAAGAGTAATTCACCACACTTGAAGAGGGAGTGAGGGAGAGAGAGAGAGAGAGAGAGAGAGAGAGAGAGAGAGAGAGAGAGAGAGAGAGAGAGAGAGAGAGAGAGAGGGTGAGAGAGAGAGATTTCACAGCAGTCACAGGTACACCCTGAGATATATTTTTACTTCCAAAAGAGATTCCAAATCCATCTCTTATTGCCATGGTTACTTAGTCTCTTTCATTTTATTTCGAGCTAAGCCTCTGCTCCATTTTGTGATTCCCGAAGTGTTTCCATACGGGGGAGCCCAGGTGGCCCAGCAGCACAGGGGCAGGAACGGGCTCGGGTCGGTCGAAAATCAAACTCTCCTGACTTGCCTGTCATGCCCAGAGGGTGTGTTAGAAAAACTACCCCTATACGATGATTTCACGCAGCCGTCATTTTGAATCAGCTCCGGTGGGAAGAAAAACGGAAGTGTCGCGTTTAATGTAGAAATTTGTTATTCTAAAAATGTACATACATTTCTTTCATGGTTTAGACTATATAAATTTATAAATACATTTTCTTTAAATATATATTCAGAACATAAAAAAGAACCAGTAATGGACTGGTAACACTTTACGATACGGGTGCACTAATATGCATTAATTCATGCTTAACTAATGCACAGATAATCACGAGTTAATGTATAACGCATGAAGAACTAAACGATTAATTAATGATTACTGCATCAGCAATTAATAAAGGATCTATATGATTAATAGATTAAGTAATACATGAATTTCTATTAATTCAATGTGTCATTGTGTATTTATTCCTTAATAACATATTTATTAACTAAAAGTGTAAATTAATGTGTTAATTACCACAATTAGTCAAAGCTATGCACTTCAACTTCCAGTTGTCTGCTTTAATGAATCATTAGCAAATGATTTGTAAAGGTATCATTATGGTATGACTTTACTTGTTGGGGCACATCATTATTAACTAGTCATTTAGTAATTGTAGTAATTTGTACATGAATTTGCACTCAAAAATACAGTTGTGGTCAGAATTATGGCACCCTTGGTAAATATGAACAAAGATGGCTGCAAAAAATAAATCTGCATTGTTTAACCTTTTGACTTTTCATCGAATAATTCACAAAAATCTAACCATTCATTGAAGTAAAAATAATTGAAAGTGGAGGGAAACTCACATTATGAAATAATTGTATTTTCTTCAAAACACATTGGCCAAAATTATTGGCACCCCTATAATTTTTTTATGAGTAAAACATGTCTGAAGTATATTCCCATTCATATACCCATTTGTTTTAAGCACACCAGGGTGACTAGGAGCATGAAATGATTTAGCTATGACTTCTTGTTTCACAGTTTTTCAGAGTATAAATATGAGGAAACACAAATGTCAAATTCCCTCAATCATCCATCACAATGAGTAAACCACAGAATATAGTTCTGATGTGCAGCAAAAGATTGTTGAACTTCACAAAATAGAAATTAGCTGTAAGAAAATAACTAAAGAATTGATAATTAAGAAGTTTCAATCAACTAAAGATGTTACGAATCTGCCTGGAAGATTATAATGTCTATGTCTATGACTATTATAGTGTCCATCAATGTCTCGATGCACGGCGAGAAGGAAAGTTTGAGTGGCCAAAGGCTCTCCAAGGATCACAGATGGAGAATCGCAGAGATTAGTTGAGTCTTGGGGTCAGAAAGCCTAAAAATACAAATCAAACAACCCCTACATCACCTCATGTTGTTTGGGAGGGTTTCTAGAAAAATCCTCTTCGCTCCTCTAAAACAAACTCCAGCATATTCGGTAGTGAGACATGACTGAAACTTCATGACTGGACCGGTGTTTGGTGCAAACAGGGATAAGAAGTACCCTATTAATGTTGTGGGCCTATTTTTTTTAGCCAAATTTGGGTAAAATATGGACAAACCCAAATGTTGGGTTAAAAATGCAACTAAAAAATGTACAGTTGAAAGTGAAAGTTTTAAGTTGGGTTGAAATTTGAAATGACATTTTTAACCCAACATTTGGGTTTGTCCATATTTTACCCAAATTTGGCTTCAAACAGCCCAGCATTGTTTAGAGTGCTTGAGGTCCTGGACATCTTATTCAGATACATGGTATCATTGATTCTAGCAAATACCAACAGATAAAAAACTACTAGAAATCGTATAATGGGCCTGGTTGGATTTTCCGTCAAGACAGTCATCCAAAACAAACATCAAAATCAACTTTAAAAGTACCAATAAGCAGCAAATATCATTGTAATATGCCGCATGCTACTAAGCAATTGTAATAATTTGACCCTAAACTTAAGTTTTACCCATTATTTATCCAAAACAAACTGCTTTTTATTTTTTAAATCAGGTAAAAGTAGCTTTTTATGGTAACAACTGTAGGTTGCCACTTTTTTACAATGTAAGGGATGGAATTAGGATTTTGGACAGTCTGATAGTAAGTGATGTTGCGGTAGATTATTGTGTGAATTTTCTGGCCTTACTTTGA